GCACACACAATCTGCCAAAACTCACAGAAGAAACAATCTGAATGTCTGCATCTTTTAAAGAAACTGGATCAATAATTAATAACCTTCCAAAACAGAAGTCATTAGGCCCGTATTGTTATGTTGGTTAATTCTGCTAAACATTTAAGGAAGAAACACCAATTACTACAAGCAGAATATTTCCCGACCCATTCTATGCAGCCAGCATTATCCCAATAGCAAAACCAAAGACTTTACAAGGAAACTACACAGCTTTCATGAACATAAATGCAAAAATCTTCAGTAACATATTAGCAAATTGAATCCAACAACATAGAAAGAATTATACACTATAATCAAGTGGAATTTATTTTAGGTACATGTATTAGTTCATTCTCACACTGCTATAAAGAACGGCCAGAGGCCAGGTGCAGTTGCACACACCTGTAATCCCAGCACTTTGCCAGGCCGAGGAGGGTGGATCACCTGAGGTCAGGAATTCGAGACTAGCCTAACATGGTGAAATCCCATCTCTACTAAGTACAAAGACATTAGCCAGGTGTGGTTGGCGCATGCCTGTAATCCCAGCTACTTGGGAGGGTGAGGCAGAAGAATCACTTGAACCAAGAGGCAGAGATTGCAGTGAGCCAAAATCATGCCATTGCAGTCCAGCCTGGGCAGCAAGAGCACAACTCCATCCGAAAAACAAAAACATTAAAAAAAAAACTGCTAGAAAATGGGTGATTTATAATGGAAAGAGGTTTAATTGACTCACAGTTCAGTACAGCTGGTGAGGCCTTGGGAAACTTATAATCCTGGTGGAAGGGGAAGCAAACATATCCTCCTTCATGTGGTGGCAGGGAGAAGAAAAATGAGGGCCCAGTGAAGGGGAAGCCCCTTATAAAACCATCAGATCTCATGAGAACTAACTCACTATCACGAGGACAGGATGGGGAAAACTGCCCCCATGATTCAATTGTCTCCACCTGGACTCTCCCTCAACACGTGGGGATTATAGGAACAATTCAAGATGAGGTTTAGGTGGAAACACAGCCAGATCATATCAGTATGCAAGCCTGGCTTAACATTCAAAAATCAATTAATGTAATCCATCACAATAGCAGGCTAAACAAAAAAAATCAAAATCACATTAATACCGAAAAAGCATCAACAAAATCAATCATTCATGATAAAAACTCAGCAAACTGGGAATAGAGGGGCAATTTCCTCACCTTGAAAAGAGCATCTACTAAAAACCTATAGCTAATATTATATTAATGGTGAGGAACTCAAAGTTTTATCACTAAGATCAGAAAGAAGGCAAGGATGTCTACTCTCACCACTGCTTTTCAACATCATACTGGAAGTTCTAACTAATGTAATAAAACAAGAAAAGGAAATAAAAGGTATACAGATTGGACAGGGAAAAAATATATAAAATTGTCTCTTCATAGATGACATGATAGTCTATGTTGAAAATGTGAAATAATCACAAAAAACTCCTGGAACTAATACGTGATATAGCAAAGTGGCAGAATACAAAGTTAATTTCCAACAATTGCTTTCCTATAAACCAGCAATAAAGAGGCAGATTTTGAAATATAAAACAATACCATTTACATTATCACTCCTAAAAATGAAATACCTAGATGTAACACTTACAACACACGTACAAGATCTATATGAAGTAAACTACGAAACTTTGATGAAATATGACAACTAAATGGATATTCTGTGTTCATAAATAGGAAGAATCAACATTGTCAAGATGCTCAATTCTCCCCAACTTGATCTACAAATTCAACACAATCTCAACCAATTCCATAAATTTATTTTGTAAATATTGACAAACCTGATTCTAAAGTTTATATGGAAAGGGCCAGGCATGGTGGCTCATGCCTGTAATCCCAACACTCTGAGAGGCCAAGATTGCTTGAGCCAAGGAGTTTGAGATCAGCCTGGGTAACATAGTGAGATCTCAACTCTACAAAAAAAATTAAAGATTAGCTGGGCGTGATGGTATGTGCCTATGGGGCCAGCTACTCGGGAGGCTGGGGTGGGAGGATCCCCTCAACCCATGAATTCAAGGCTGCATTGGGCTGTGATTGTGCCACTGCACTCCAGCCTGGAAGACAGGGTGAGAACCTGTCTCGAAAAAATAATACTTAATAAAAATGAGGTTAAATGGAAGGCAGAGAACTCAGAACGGCCAACTCAATGTTAAAGAAGAACAAAGTAGGCCAGGCACGGTGGCTCACGCCTATAATCCCAGCACTTTGAGAGGCCGAGGCAGGTGGATCATGAGGTCAGGAGTTCAAGATCAGCCTGACCAACACGGTGAAATTCCATCTCTACTAAAAATACAAAAATTAGCCGGGCATGGTGGTGGCGTGCCTATAATCCCAGCTACTCAGGAGGCTGAGGCAGGAGAATTGCTTGAACCCGGGAGACGGAGGTTGCAGTAGTAGAGATCATACCACTGCACTCCATCCTGGGCAACAGAGCGAGACTCTGTCTCAAAAAAAAAAAGAAGAAGAAGAAGAGAACAAAGTTGGAGGACTGACTCTATCTGACTTCAAGATTTATTTTAAAGCTACAGCAATGAAGCCAGTGTGGTATTGGCAAAAGAACTGGTAAATAGGCCAATGGAACAGAACACTCAGAAATAGATCTACATAAATGTCAACTGATCTTCAACAAAGGAGCAAAGGTTATACAATGGAGAAAAGGCAATCTTTGTAGATATCCACAAGCAAAAAAATAAACCTAGACACGAACCTTACACCTTTCATAAAAAATTAACCCAAAAAGATAATAGACCTAAATTTAAAATGCAAAACTATAAAAATTCCTAGAAGATAACTAGATGACCTTGGGCAGAACAATGACTTTTTAGCTACAACATCAAAGGCACTGTCCATGAAAGAAATAACTGATAAAACTGAACCTCATTAAAATAAAACACTTGTGCTCTATGAAAATACCAACAGAGTAAGACAAGCCATAGACTGGGGAAAAAAATACTTCCAAAAGACACTTGAAAAAGGACTGTCATCTAAAACATACAAAAAACTCAAAACTCAACAAGAAAATGACCCTCAAGACTCAAACAGAACCTTGCCAAAGAAGATATACAGATGGCAAGTATGTGAAAAGATGTTCAACATCACGTCACTAGGGAATCACAATTAAAAGGAGATATATTATAGAACTATAAGAATGACCAAAATCCAAAATAATACCACCACCAAATACTGAAGTGGCTGGGTATGGAACAATACGTATTCTTTCATTGCTGGTGGGAATACAAAAGGGCACATATCCACTTTCAAATACCATTTGACTGTTTCTTATAAAATTAAATATATTCTCACCATACAATCCTGCAACTGCTCTCCTTGATATTTACCCAAAGAAGTTGAAAACTTAGTCCACACAAAAACCCGCACATGGATGTTTATAGGAGCTTTATTCATAATTGCCAAAACCTCAAAACAACCAAGACATCTTTCAGTAGGTTGGTGGGTAAACTGTTTTACATCAGATGATGGAATAGTATTCAGCACTAAAAAGAAATGAGTGATCAAGCCATGAAAAGTCATGGAGGAAACTTAAATATATATTACTAGGTGAAAAGTGAATGAAGCCCATCTGAAAAGGCTACATGCTATATGATTCCAGGTATATAACATTCTAGAAAATACAAAACTATGAATATAGTAAAAGGATTAGTTGACAGGGATGGAGGGGATGAACAGGCAGAACAGGGGATTTTTAAGGCAGTAAAAACAATGGCAGATAAATATCATACATTTGTCCAAACCCACAGAATGTATAACACCAAGAACAAACCCTAATGCAAGCCATGGGCTTTGGGTAATATGTTGATGTAGGTTCATTAATTGCAACCAATGTACCAAGTATGGAGGGAAATGCTGACAGTAGGGATGGTTCTGGAGGGCAAAGGAGAAACAGTTGAGTATATGAGATGCTTTACTTTCTGCTCAATTTTGCTATGACCCTAAAACTGCTCTTAAAAAATAAAAAATAAAGATGTTTTAAAGTTTATGAATTAAAATAAGACATAAAACTGGTAAAATCCAAATTAGGTCTGTAGTTTAGTTAATAGTAGTACACGAAAGTTAATTGTCTTGATAAAATACTCGTTAAATAAAGTGTTATCATAGAGAAATAACTAAGTGACAGGTAAACAGGAACTCTGTAATATTGCTGCAACTTTTATGAGTCAAAAGCTATTTCAAAAAAAATTTTTAGCACAGAGCACAGTGGCTCATGCCTGTAATCCCAGTGCTTTGGGAGGGCAAGGCAGGATGATCACTTGAGTCCAGGAGTTTGAGACCAGCCTGGGCAACAACACCCCATCTATACAAAAAATAATTTTAAACAGTTAGTCATCATGGTGGTGCAAGCCCTGTAGTCCCTAAGGGGCTAAGGCAGTATTGCTTGAGCCCAGGAGTTTAAGATTGTAGTAAACTATGATTGTGCCATTGTACTCCAGCCTAGGTGACAGAACAAGACCCTGTCTCTTANAGCTAATTCCTAAGTGAAATGGCTTGGAACTTGGATCAAGTTCAGCTGCGTTGATTCAGCAAGGCATGACAGGTTAAAAAATTAAAAGAAGAGGTAAGTTAGTCAAATTAAGAAGGCTATTATTTACCAGAATTTATATACACTTAATGTTGCAATGTATCTAGCATTTATTTTTCTAAGATAGTAAGATCTGCATCTCTATTTTAGAAACATTTTACAACTCTGTTCTTTAAAATATGACAGACGGTAAGTTCTAGGTGGCTCAGTATATAATGCTTTAAGTTTTAGGCATAGCAGAAGAGAAAATTCTGGAGAAAAATAAGTCTTGTATTATTAATTACCTTTCTAGGAGAGCAACCTATAAAGAGCCATATATAAATTCTAATGGAAGACATGATATAGGTAAGAGATCCAAGACATAATGCAGACCACCACTAGGCTAAATTCTCTTATGACCAACACACTGGGACAACTTTTGAGTCATGACAAATAAATAATAAATTTTTATTAGCTTCTTTTCAATTCTACAAATTTTTAAAGTCATTACACATTTTTAAAGGTTAATAAAAATCACTGAAATATGTCTACACTTAAAATAGAATCAATGTAATTTGTACAGACAATTTTCACCTTTAATATTCATATTTTTTTCTTTAAAAGTAGAATAAATTTTAATTCTGAAAAGATGTAACAATTTCCATGAAAACAGGTACACTGTAGTACATGAGGTTTATACTTAAGAAATATTTAATTAAGTAGACACATTCATTTATACCAAACAAAAAAAAATGTATACCTATCATGAGACAGTTCAAATATGTACGGTAATTACAGATTTGAAATTAAGTCCCCTTTGCAAAGATCAGTGCATCTGGACTGGTTAATCCACTAAATTATCATTTTGAATAAAAAACCAAAAACAAAAATGACATTTTAGGAAGAAAAATAATTGTTTCAAAGTGAAAGTGACTCTTCCCTCATTTTAAAATGCATAAAATTTTCTAAAATGTAAAATGGAAAGGTTTAGTACACAGGAAAAACTGCACACCTTAACTAAACAAACTAGAAAGAAAGTATCTTTATATACAGAACTAAGATGAATCCATGCAAGTTTTTACAAATGTTCGCATAGATGGTTTACAAATAAGTAGTTAAATGACTCAATTAACTACTAACCTCTGTCTTCATTAATTTTATTTCCTAGTTCAACAAAAAACAATAATGCTTTCAGGATATACTATATATAAAGCAGGATCATTTTTTATCAGTAATTTCTCTGAAAAAGGGAAAAAACTTAAAGCAGAACCCTACAAAGGAAAGCAAACTAGAAAGCAAACAGTAACACAGTGTTTGCAAAGTAGAAATGTGTGACTTTTATTTTAACTTTGAAATAGCAGGCTACCTAATTAATCCAGACAGTAGAGAAAGCAAACTGAGGCAGGAAATAAGAGGTGGGCTAAACTGCTAAGAAATAATCATTTAAAATAAAACTTTAGAATCCTTATTCTAGGGATTCCTTTAATTCCACTTTGCAACTTTTAATAGGTACACTAATTTACACAGGGCACACTACCAATTACTGTGTAACATTAAAGCTTTCAGTTAAGAAACTGGTTACCAGTGAGGTGAGACGCACCAGGGAAAAAAGCTAACCTGCCAAGGAAGACAAAAGAGTGGCAAGACAGAAGGAAGCTGGATCTTTTATAATGTAGTTTAGCCACTAAACTGATTCTGGAACCATCTATCCCTACACTTCCTGCTATGAGAAATAATGTATTTGTCTTTAAATGTCTTTTTTTTTTTTTTTTTTAAGAAAAGAAAAAAAAACTGGTCAAAAAGCTTTCCATAAGATTCATTTTAAAAATCTTTTTGTTTTCCTTAGAACGAAGATGGTTAAAAACTTGGGTTTTCTAAACAAACTTGTATTAATATGAAGTTAGGAAGACACACAAAGCTGAAGGGTCTGGAACCATTTGGCTGCCTGCAGTCTTCAGCAAGATCACAAAGTACTCAAAAATTCTTTGACCTGAGGAAAGGAAAAAAAATCAATATAATTCCTTGACTAATTTTAGATATCTAATATTCATCTTCATTTAAAAGTATATTAGTTGAAGACCCCAGCTGTATAAGTAACGATCACAATGTCATAGCATTTACTTTCCAAAGAAATGTTGTTAAGGCAGGGTGCAGTGGCTCATGCCTGTAATCCCAGCTCTTTGGCAGGCCGAGGTGGGTGAATCACTTAAGGTCAGGAGGTCAAGACCAGCCTGACCAACATGGTGAAACCTCGTCTCTACTAAAAATACAAAAATTAGCTAGGCTTGGAGGCGTGCACTTATTATCCCAGCTACTTGGGAGGCTGAGGCAGCAGAATTGGTTTAACCTGGGAGGTGGAGATTACAGTGAGCCGAGATCATGCCACTGTACTCCAGGCTGGGTGATGGAGCAAGACTGTCTGGAAAAAAAAAGAAATACTATTAAATACTTCAGTAGTAAAAGATGAATGACCTAAAAGGTCATTTTAGGAGTTTATTGCTCTGTTGCCCAGGCTGAGTATAGTGGCTCAATCACAGGTCACTGCAGCCCTGAACTCCTGGCTAGGCACACACCACCATGTCTGGCTAGTTTTTGTTTGTTTTTTATAGAAATGAGGTCTTGCCATGTTGCCCAGTCTGGTCAGGAACTCTTGGGCTCAAGCAATCTTCCTATCTCAGCCTCCCAAAATGCTGGGATTATAGGTATGAGTCACTGCATCCACCAATCTAAGACTGACATAATTCTAAAAATAGCTGTAACACCAATTTCATAATCTCTTTATTTAAATACCATAGACTATTGACATGTGCAGCTTTAACACTGATAAAATTAATAAGCACAATAGTTCAAGCAACTTTGAAGATGAAACATATAGTAGATTTGTCATGTTTCTGAAGCACAGATGTGAATTATATACTCTGCAATGTCAGTGTGTAGGGAAAATCATATACGTAAGGAGTCAATGAACCTAGCCAACTGACCACAATGTAAGAATACACTTGTTCTTTACATATTCTATCAATAATTCTCAAGAGACAAAGATTATCGCCTTGTAAAAATACTTTAAAAAGAAAGTCAACTGCTAGCACTATTAATAAAAGTAAATATAATAATGTGAATGATTCTTAGGCAAAACAAAGTAGTGTTAGATAAAATTAAAAAGTGGTTTTACAAAGTCAGTTAAATTGATGGTTAGTTGTTAATACTGACTTAATTTCATTTACTTTAATAGTATCATAAGAGAATTTGTCCTATATTTTTAACATCATTAATAGTATGAAGAGGTCACTGGAATTTTCCAGATAAGGTTTAGTTCATATCAATGGGAAAAAGAACTACATGTATAGAGTACAGTAGTTACATAAAATGTGAAGATTTTCAAGATTCTTGAAATATATCCCTTATGAATGTTAAGTCTCTATTAAACAGCAGATATGTCACAAAAGAAAGGAAAAATCAAATTTCCCTCAAAACTAAACCAAACAAATTGTGGTTTCTTCTTTATAGTTTAATTACTGAGTTATCAACATGGGTATAGGGACATTTGTTATACAAATTCCCTTATTATTCTCTCTCAAATGTTCATCAATAAATTCTCACCCAGTCCCTTCATCAATATGGGCACCACTTACTTAACAGAATATGGTCAACTCCCACTGATCTGGGTGATAAATGAACTACGATTAAGATAATGACTCAATGATTAGGCAATGTCAAATAATCCTTGACATGATCTGAGATGAAATTCAAAACTTTTAATCCTTTAATCACAAGACTTTAGCCAACATAAAAATGGATGAGATCCATATCCTACAACTTTAAATATCCTCCATATTGAATTTGGTTGAAAAGATAAATTTAATTTCACAAGCAGTTTATTATTAAAGTATCTAAAGCTTGGTGGTATAGGGAAGAGAGGAAGAAATGGGGACAAAGCAGAGAAAAAGGGATTGAGAAAGAATTTTTGTTACGATTTTCCCTATCCTACAAAAAAAGGCGCTAAAGGATTAAAAAAAAATCCTTATTTATTTATTTAATTTTTTTCTAAGAGATCTGTCAGGTTCTGAGATTTTGAAGCATCCTTATTTTAGCTCAGGCCACAAAGCTAGAATTCAGTCAGGACTGGGATCCGAACAGTCCAAAATCTTCTAAAGCTCTTAACTGTTTCTTAATGTAACTTTATGGAATCTTTTCTGTTAGAAAATTGTTTTCTCACAAGTTAGTACATTTTTTTAGACAAAACAAATATTAGTTTGTAGTCTAAGAATCTACCTTTTCAACCAGATTTTCATGTTTGTCTTTAAAGTCTTCATTAACATCCAGTGTTAGGATAGGCACCTCTTGAAGATAATTGAAGTTGGTTCTGTTTAAAAAGAGATTAATAAAATAATCAGAAATGTAGAAAAAAGAGAGAAACATTAAAAATTCATTCTTATATCATTGGAAACTCAAAATGTTGTCAACCATTTACACTAAAGTTACTTTGCAATACTTTATCTGTCAGGCCCTTCTTTCTCATCTAGATTTACCATATGGAGCCAAAAAACTCAGATACAAAATATATAAAGCTAGGTACTGTAACATACAATTCTCTTCAAAAACAAAAAACAGACAATAAAGTAGGAATTTCTGCATTTTAAAGATGAGAAAACTAAAGCTCAGAATCGTCATTCTGAAGCTCAGAGGCTATCCAAGGTCACACATTAATAAGTGAGACTGGACTTGAGCCAAGATCTGACTAATAACAAAGTCTATCCTCTCAACAATTATGCTATACAATCTCCCAAGTCAAAATTATTTCTGAAAGAGTACCTAAATAATGGACAGATATATTTCCTACTTTCATTTAAAGTGAAATTTCATATGTTATGCTATCAATATTACCAAGTTTTTATAAAGTTATAAAAACTTTAAGAAAATAGGATCTCATTACAATCAAGAGAATCAAAATCTATACCTACTTCTAGAAGATACGAATAAGTAAATGACTGAAAATTTTACATGTTCCTAGTCATATCTTCCAAATTTTAGATTAAAATTTAACAAAGATATTTAGAACAAATAGTAAATAAAAATAAGGACGTCTTACTTCAGTGTCCTATGCAGGAGCCAGCTTTCATGTTTATGATGAAGCTTCTCTAAATATTCAAGAGGAATGCCTTGCTCTTCATTTCTTCCCCGTAAATACATTCTATGTAAGCATGTCTAAAAGCAAGTAATAAGAGATGGAAGGAAAAGACAAGAATAATTATTCTTGTCTGCTGCCATCAAAATTTTCTTTTCTGGGTCTCTCCACTCATACTAGCCAAAATTTCTACACACTACTTCTTAAAAATTTTCTTTTCTGGGTCTCTCCACTCATACTAGCCAAAATTTCTACACACTACTTCTTAAAAGTTGAAATAATTTATTTTTCCCTCCATGACCTTTTCAGCCACATGGTGGCTCTAAACCAAGCAGTACTTTCAAAAATAAGTTAAAATAAGTCTATAAATTTTTGGTATCCACACATGAAATATACTAAGTTTGATAAAAAGGAGAAAAAAAAATTAAACATCTACTTAAAATTTTCAGAGACAATAGCTAAAAGTTAGGCCAGTCTATAAAGGTAATCTTACTTCACTGTTAATCAAACTTGATTATAAAACATCTATGTTCAGTTCATGTAAAACCACTAAAGGCAGTGGTTCTCAATGTGATGAAAGCTCTATAGCAGCGCAACCAAAACAACTTTGGAATGCTTTATGCCTGTCCTGCAGCTGCATTATCAAATGAGGTAGCCACTAGCCACCTGTGGTTTTTAAGCACTTGAAATATGGCTTATGTGGTGACCAAGGAACTAAATTTCTAAATTTTATTTAATTTTAATAAACTTAAATTTAAATAGCCACATTGGCAGCTCTGGATTATGTTCCCCCAAAAGTACACCTAAATAAAAACTTTTGTACAATTTTTAGGGGTTCATAGACCCTGAGAAACTCTTCATGCATTTCAAGAAATAAAAACCTCCAACCTAAATGACATGCATAGACCACGGCAGCATACAAACTGTTGCAAAGTCTACTCTAAATTCTCTTTTCAATAATTAAACAATCCTTTCATCAAAGGATATCAGAAACAATACTGATGACATAAAGTTGTGTGCTAGACTTTAAGATAATATGAATGTTTCTATCAAAATGAAATTATTAGTATTCTTTATGGTTTTTGATTTGTACTATTTTTCATAACTTTAAGAAATATTTTCAAAAATAAAAGTGAATTCTGAAATTATAATTGCTAAATTCTAGCTTACTAAATATTGATTATAAATGTTTCAAGTAAAATGAAATTATTAGTATTCTTTATGTTCACATTTTTATTTACTATGATTGTAATTAAAAACAAAAAACTTTCAGAAATAAAAATAAATTTCAAAGTTGAAATGAAAAAGTCACTTTTGAAATTACTAAAGAATTGCTAAATCCTCACTTAATGAAGAACAAAATCATTCGTTGGAATCAGAAACCTAATTTCTTTAAAAACCCAGCTTCGATAGCAACACAGTATTCTAACTAATTTTAAGGCAAAAGTTATGACATTTACATTCATCAGTGCCTACCTTGTGACTTAAGGAAGAAATGAGAATTAAAAAACAGAAACAATAGAAATGAAAGCACCAAAACCAGAAAGCTTCTGATTAAATGTAAGATCTTAATATTTAGGTTAGTTTTATGAAAAGTATCTATTTGGTCTTTCTGTATTCATTATATAATATCATATGTAATTAGAATAGCTATGTTACAACCTATCACAAAAAGCACTTTTTCAAGTGAACTCTCTTAATTGAAAATGGTCCTCTAAGTCTTTTCCCAACTATAGCTGGCATTATCCACTCATTCCAAGCCACAAACAACCATAATAAAAGATTTCTTGAAAAGGATCTCCATACTCCATTCATTCAATAAATATTTACTGAGCCCTTACTATGTGCTCCAACAGTGCCTAGAACTGTTCTAGGGACTGGAAATTCAACAGTAATCAAAACACCCAAGGTCCCACCTCATGAAGCCTATATTCTAGGAGTTGCTTGACCACATTCCTTACTTTAATTGTGGGGAATAAGAGAGTCTGCAAATGTTGGGAAGAAACAATGAGTAAAAATAAAAAAGAATTGAGGAAGCATAAAGAGCCTAAAAAAGCAACTTGGCCAGTCTGTGATTCCAGTTTGCTGAGAAAAAACAATACCTCTATCTATACAGTTACAAGTTTCTAATTTGGAGTGGGAGGTTGGAAGGCTGGAGTTAAATTAAATTGCCCTCATTACATACCACTGAAAAGAGTTCTAAATATTTCTTTAAATTGTTATGGAACACATTTTTATTGTGTTTTACCTCTGGAGTGGCTTGAAGATAAATGATTCCATCCAATTCAAGGCTTTGGCCAAGCTGGTTATTCATCCAGTCATGCCAGTCTTGATAAATTGTCCACTCTGTTTCATTCATGCATTCAGATTCATACAAATTAGATGCAAAAATATACCTAAAAGAGAGTCTTCATCAACACATATATCATTTCCAAAAAAACCAACAAAGAAATAAAAAAGAGAATAAGAACATGAAACATTATCCTAAATCCAGTGGCACATAGTGCTGTGGACAGCTGAAAAAGACAGAAGTCTTTCCATCTACAGGAAATATGTTCTTGGCCAATGGTTCTCAAAATATGGAGTGAGGATTCCATAAATCCCCAATATCTTCTAAGGGTTTCTGTGAGAGGCCAGGTTACTTCAAACAAATGAACATACCGTTAACAGATTAACTACAGAAGCATAAATAAAAATCCAGCTCTTTTTAAATAAGTCAAGGTATTAAAGATATCTGCAAAAATGTAAAGCCATGACACTCTTCTAGCTACTTTTTATTTTAGAAAATATCATTGTTTTTGTCAAATTTATATTATATTAATATGTAATGAATTTATTAATTTTAAATCATTTTTATGCATCTTAATTTTTAGTAACCTAAATATCAATAGGACAAGCCCTTTGCATGCCTCAATAGTTATTAAAAATTGAAAAAGGTCCTAAGATCAAAAGTTTGAGAACCTCTTTTCTGAGCTAATTTTGGAGGTCAAAAGAATCCTAGCATAACTAGCAATTCTAAGGCCCCTTAGAGACTTTTATCTTCTTGCTCCAGGTAAGAGTCTAGGATATAGATCCAGATTTAACCAGAGTACATGATAATTTTAAAAGGGTTAGAGGGAAAAACAACTTCTCTGCAAATTTAATTTGAGATGGCCACCACCATATTCCCAACAGTTTCTATGGAAGCTAGGTATTATAAATGCAATAACTTTTCTAATGCCATTAGTACCAGACTGCTGAGGGATTTAAATGTCATTTTCTATCTTAAATCTCCCAACTCAGCCATTCATATTACCAATTCCCAGGAAACATTANAAAAAAAAAAAAAAAAAAAAAAAAAAAAAGAAAGAAAGAAAAAGAAAAAATGTCCAGTTCTAAGACAAAAACTTTAAATGGCCAAGTAAAGTCATTTATACATACCTGTCACTATACACAGATCGTTCAAAAAATAATACCGGTTTCTCTGCATCTTTGAGCTTGCCATTGAGAGAGGCAAGCTGAGCTCTTATTCGACTGAGACAGGCATATGTTTGGAAGGTAAAAGACCATCGTTCTGGTTTCTCATACATCATCTGAAGAACATTCCCACCATTTTTCTGAGACGTTGTAAGTTCCTATTGTGAATGTGCAAAAAAGAAATGAAAAGCAAAATAAATGATCAATAGGGCTGTTTTAATATTTTAAGGCTAAACAAGAAGAGTTAGATAAATAAATGCAATCATGATTAGTAAAACCAAGATGATTAAGTTCCCTTTCTCATACTCTTTTCAGATTGCCAAAGGTCTGGAAAAATCCTTAGATCTTTCTCACAAGAGATTACAAACTAATAACCTATGGAAGAAATCATTGTTTGGCTCAAAAGCCCTTTTTAAAACTTTGACTTAGTTGTCAATTTTATTGTCAATATTTAAAAGCTAAATAATTTCACATAAAATATTTGGATTTACATCTTCTTTTTAAAAATGAAAAAAAAAAAACAAAAAAACCAAGTAATACTGTACCCATCTTGGCAAAATCCCTCTTGGCAAAAATCATCTACGGGCAAGTCGCAGATGCCTCCTTTAGATGGGATATATGTTCTCCAGCTTATCAACTCCCACCATTCCCTAACGATTTTCATAACAGGTCTGATGTATTCATCTGTCTGTCTGGCTCCTTTAGGCACTTGTATCTGTAAAGCCTCCAATCTTCTAATAGAATAGAATAGTTCCCTCCCCCAGATTTTATATTGCAATTCAATAATCTTATTGTCAGAACCATATTTTCCAGGTTGAGGAAAAATACAAATGTAGATTTTAAAATGAAGTAAAACTCTATCATCTACTATCTGAATTAGAAATAGCATATGGAACACATGAATTATTGTTCTCTTTCTGTATCATTTTTCTAGTTCTGTCCACCAAAAGGCCTATGAACAGTGACAACCTTGTAAGAATATACAACAATATCACCCAGATTATAATCTCTAAATACCATTTCCCACTGAAAGGAATTAGAATTCTGATTCTAAATCTGAGTAAGAAAATATACGAGAGGAGCTTCACCTTGTATATTTTAGGAAACTATTACAGACCACTGCGATTGTGCCAAGGACATACGCTGCCACTGGTCAAAGAATAATTTGAACATCTCCAATGGGAGGCAAAAAATCATGAGTTTATAATACTAAAAAACAAACAAACAAACAAAAACAAAACAAAACTCTAGTCATCTTCTGAGGCTCCTAGGTCATAAATTAATTATTCTGCAAATGTGTAGGTAAAAAGAAAAAAAAAAGTCACATTTTATTCTGGCATTTTCTATAGAAATACTTTCAGGATAATGAAGTAGTATATGAGGAAGAGGTCTTCCTTACTAAAGAATCCCAGCCAGTAAATTCAGAAGGCTGGAGAAGGAATATCACCTTTTACAATACATACTGATATACTGCAATGAGGCAACAATTAGCAATAGATGCTAAAATTATTAGAGAAAAGTTAACTGGGAATTTTATAATAGATGAATCAAGCTGACAACACCTGAACTGACCGACTGATTTTAACGTCACAAAACACATTTTCTTGATGTAAAGAAATACATGTCACCAACTAGGAATCTTGCCAAAAAAGAACTGAAAGTAAATCTAACCAAGCATCTGTCTACCCGTAAATTTACAGGAAATACAGAAAACTGAAAAATATGTTAAATTTTGCCAGAGATACACTCAGCCAAAACCAGAATGAGGAAAATTATATGGAACAAATGACTTCAACAATAAATTATAAAGGAAAAAAAGGAAGAGGCAACCAACAGATTAAAATTTAAAAAGCATATTAAGGCCAGGCACGGTGGCTCTTGCCTGTAATCCCAGCATTTTGGGAGGCTGACGTAAGCAGATCACCTGAGGTCAGGAGTTCGAGACCAGCCTGGCCAACATGGTGAAACCTTGTCTCTATCAAAAATATGAAAAATTAGCTGGGCATGGTGGCATGTGCCTGTAATAGTAGCTGCTTGGAAGGCTGCGGCAGGAGAATCCCTTGAACCCGGGAGGCAGAGGTTGCAGTGAGCCAAGAACGTGCACTGTGCTCCAGCCTGGGGGACAGAGCAAGACTCCATCTCAAAAAAATAAATTAATTAAATAAACAAATGGCATACTGACCAACAAATGTAACAAGTATGGATTTTGTTTGGCTCCTAATTTCAACAAATTATGAAAACATTATGAGACAATGGGGAAATATGAACACAGGGTGATAAAAATAATTACTAATCTTTTAGATGATATTTTTTAAGAGATTCTTTATATTTCTAGAGTTCTCTGAGTCTTTGTTTTCTCCAGATGAAGTAATATGTTCTCTAAGTATAGTAAAACTATAGTTCTTCAAAGTATAGAAGAAGCTCCACAGGTCCCTGGATCTTTTCAGGATGCTAAAGTTCTGAATATCTGTTCATAATGACCTAAGTATGCTTATAACACTACTGAGCTGTACACTTAAAAATGGTTCAGATGATAAATTTTATATTTTTGCCACAATAAAAAAGTTAATCACCAAAAAAAACACATATCTCCTTTTATTTGAATTTCTCAATACATATAATGTCTCTTGCCCAAAGCAATTCAAAGTTTACTATGTTAAAATAACTTAGCCAGGCACGGTGGCTCACACCTGTAATTCCAGCACTTTGGGAACGCCGAGGCAGGTGGATCACCTGAGATCGGGAATTCAAGACCAGCCTGACCAACATGGAGAAATCCTGTCTCTACTAAAAATGCAAAATTAGGCGGGTGTGGTGGCACACACCTGTAATCCAAGCTATTCAGGAGACTGAGGAAGGAGAATCACTTGAACCCGGAAGGCTGAAATTGCGGTGAGCTGAGATTGCACCATTGCACTACAGCCCGGGCAACAAAAGTGAAACTCCATCTCAAATAATAATAATAATAATAATAACTTAGATAACCAATCTTGATTCATCACCTAATCAAAAAATAAACTAGTTCTAAAAATAAAAATATGTAAATTCAAACTAAATCAAAAATCTGTAATAGAATTTTCAGCTATGAAGATATTATTGTCTCTTAGTTTAACAGTGTAACAAATTAGAAAATTAACAGTAAGCCAGGGTATCATTATCGGTTCTTCAGGATAACTTAAGAGTCATATAAAACATTTTCTTTCGATCCTATGCATGAAATTCGACACAAACTACAAGGGCTTTTTGCATGCAATTATGAATGTTAAGAATAAAATATGTATTAAAAATTTATCCAGCCAGGTGAGGTTGCTTAGGCCTGTAATCCCAGCATTTTGGGAGGCTGAGGCAGGCATATTGCTTGAGCTAGGGAGTTCCAGACCAGCCTGGGCAACATGGCAAAACCCTGTCTACAAAGCAAAAAAATTAGCCAGGCACAGTGGCATGCACCTGTAGTCCCAGATACTACGGAGGCTGAGGTGGGAGAATTGTTTATGCCCGGGAGGCAGAGGCTGCAGTGAGCTGAGATTCTGTCACTGCACTCCAGCTTGGGTAATATAGCAAGACTCAAAAAAAAAAAAAAATTATCTAAAAAATACCGTGCATCATCTTTACCAAACCAAATGTTAATTTTATCAAGGTTTCCTCTCTGAAAACTATCCAGATAAAAAATTTGAATGTGTCAGAGTGAAACTACATTAAATAAAAATTGGTAGAACATTTCTAGATAGAAAGCAGTTTAGCTACATTTACTAAAAAAATCGGTACATTTTGGCCCAATTAATTCCACTTTTGAAAATTTAGTTTTGAGAAATAAACTAGAATATAGGTTTAAACATAAAGATATTTATCACAATGCTAAGCAAATAGGTTATTACTCCAATATTACTAGGTATTTATATTAATAATTGTACATTATACAATAAATTGGGCTGCCATTAAAAATCATTTACAGTAAATTTTTAATGACAATTTTAATTGCCCTGACATAAATATTATGGGGTGCAGGGAAGAAACAAAATACAAAGTATACTGTTTCACCAAGTAAGATCTAAGGTTATCTCCAGGTAACAAAGTTATAGGTAAGTTTTAGTCCCCTCTTTTGATAATTTCTAATATTTCCTTAACTTCAAACAGTAAACAGGTCTTACTTTATAATATTTTTTAAAATTATGTATCACCTCCACCAAACTGTAATATATTACTATTATTTCAACTATGTAAAAGATACATACAGGGTGGTAGGATTATGGGTATTTTTTATTCTGTTCTCTATAATACATATCCATTGTCATTTTATGAAAGAACACTTCATTGTTTTGTAGGAAGTACAGATTATTGCCAAGGTAAGTAAAAAATAGAAATATCAAGGTCAGCTATAAAATCAGTCATCTTTTAATTCTAGGGCTAATCTTTGTAAACACTGAAAAAGAGCTGAATTAAGTTCAACTGAAAAAGATCAGAGTCTACCAAAGAAGAGAATTATAAAATAACCAACCAGGCCAGGAGCAGTGACTCACACGCCTAATCCCAGCACTTTGGGAGGGCAAGGAAGGCAGATTGCTTGATCGCAGAAGTTTGAGACCAGCCTGGACAACACTGGCAAAATCCCATCTCTATAAAAAATACACAAATTAGCTGAGCATGTTGGCTTGGGCCTGTAGACCCAGCTACTCAGGAGGCTAAAGTCCGAGGATCATTTGAGCCCAGGAGGTGGAGGCTGCAGTGGTCTGAGGTTCATCACTGCACTCCAGCCTGGGCAACAAAGCAAGACTCTCAAAATAATACAAGCCAAAAATTATCACATCACTTCAAAAGGTACAAGTAGAAGTATTTTATCAAGCATTCTTAACTAATTTTTAAGAATGACTTATTAGGCCAGGAGCAGTGGCTCACATCTGCAATCCCAGCACTTTGGGAGGCCAAGATGGGTAGATCACTTGAGGTCAGGAGTTCAAGACTAGCCTGGCCAATATGGTGAAACCCCATTGCTACTAAAATTACAAAAATTAGCCTGGCGTGGTGGCATGTGCCTGTAATTCCAGCTTCAGCTACTTGGGAGGCTGAGGTAGAAAAATCGCTTGAACCCCGGAGGCAGAGGTTGCAGTGAGGCAAGATCGGGCCACTGAAAATAAAAAAAGGAAAAAAAATAAGACTCCTT